TAGATAGATAGATAGATAGATAGATAGATAGATAGATAGATAGATAGATAGATAGATAGATAGATAGATAGATAGATAGATAGATAGATAGATAGATAGATAGATAGATAGATAGATAGATAGATAGATAGATAGATAGATAGATAGATAGATAGATAGATAGATAGATAGATAGATAGATAGATAGATAGATAGATAGATAGATAGATAGATAGATAGATAGATAGATAGATAGATAGATAGATAGATAGATCGATCGATCGATCGATCGATCGATCGATCGATCGATCGATAGATAGATAGATAGATAGATAGATAGATAGATAGATAGATAGATAGATAGATAGATAGATAGATAGATAGATAGATAGATAGATAGATAGATAGATAGATAGATAGATAGATAGATAGATAGATAGATAGATAGATAGATAGATAGATAGATAGATAGATAGATAGATAGATAGATAGATAGATAGATAGACAGATAGGTAGGTAGGTAGGTAGGTAGGTAGGTAGGTAGGTAGGTAGAAAGATAGATAGATAGATAGATAGAAAGATAGATAGATAGATAGATAGATAGATAGATAGATAGATAGATAGATAGATAGATAGATAGATAGATAGATAGATAGATAGATAGATAGATAGATAGATAGATAGATAGATAGATAGATAGATAGATAGATAGATAGATAGATAGATAGATAGATAGATAGATAGATAGATAGATAGATAGATAGATAGATAGATAGATAGATAGATAGATAGATAGATAGATAGATAGATAGATAGATAGATAGATAGATAGATAGATAGATAGATAGATAGATAGATAGACAGATAGGTAGGTAGGTAGGTAGGTAGGTAGGTAGGTAGGTAGGTAGGTAGGTAGAAAGATAGATAGATAGATAGATAGAAAGATAGATAGATAGATAGATAGATAGATAGATAGATAGATAGATAGATAGATAGATAGATAGATAGATAGATAGATAGATAGATAGATAGATAGATAGATAGATAGATAGATAGATAGATAGATAGATAGATAGATAGATAGATAGATAGATAGATAGATAGATAGATAGATAGATAGATAGATAGATAGATAGATAGATAGATAGATAGATAGATAGATAGATAGATAGATAGATAGATAGATAGATAGATAGATAGATAGATAGATAGATAGATAGATAGATAGATAGATAGATAGATAGATAGATAGATAGATAGATAGATAGATAGATAGATAGATAGATAGATAGATAGATAGATAGATAGATAGATAGATAGATAGATAGATAGATAGATAGATAGATAGATAGATAGATAGATAGATAGATTAAACGACAAGCCTGCGAGTTAACAGAGACAACATTCTTCTACAAATGATTAAATATATGGTCATTTCAGGTATCAAACCGAAAGGTTAAGGAAGCTGTGCTGTCATGGGAGACTCGGTTTCGAATCCTCGCTTAGTGTTGTGATCTTGTTTCTGTCGGAGGAAACATAAAACTCTAATCTGCAAAGTCCGTGGCAACAGCCCTAAACATACGATCCTAAATCTTTAGGCTCAAAGAAACAAACTTGAAATTTTGTGTGTGGTTGGGGGGGGGGGGGGAATGAGGGGGATTTAAACCCGTTTAAACGTCTTTAAAAAACACACATACACACACGCACACACAAACACACACGCATAACTGGCTTCCTTATATTTCGTAAGAACTGAAATTATTTGTCTATTAATTAAAAAAAAAAATTACTGAGCGCAGCTTTAAAGGTACACTTTTCATCACAAGCAGTTGCTAACCTTTTTTTTTTTTTTTTTTTGCTTTTTTTTTTTTAATAGAAGTTTTATCTTGATGATTATCATCACTGTTTCAGCTAACATTCATATTTCTATACTCGCTCATTTGGAAACTAAAACTAAAAAAAAAGCAATTTGAAAACATACGAAACAATTATAAACATATTAACAACATGCCATACATTAGTTCGCAATAAAACCGTGAAAACGAGCAGGTAGATAGACTGGCCGATTCTGCACCGCTTGGTGGTGAACTGGTGTATGACAAACTGGATGTTGTGAGGGCCCTTTGGGAACGAGTTAACAGTGCCGATCCACAGATCATTAAAGCATTGCGGGGAGTTAACAGGGGATCTGGCCGACGCTCGACACTCAAGGGAAAGGCGATACAGATATACTGTCAGAGAGTTACTGGTAACATCATAATTTTAACTCTTCGCTTGCCTGTGGGGGTGTCCCAAGTGCTGTGATGTCGATTCCTAATTCAACATTCAAGCAATAAAACCGGGAAGGTAAACCAGGTCAACAAATACCTGCAGAAGTCGGATGAGTCAACCAAGAGGAGCGAGTATCGAAGCCATGCTATTAATGGGCTCAACGCAATTACATCTTCGGAAGAAGGAAAAGAAGAAGAAGAAGAAGAAGAAGAAGAAAAAGAAGAGGAAGAAAAAGAAGAGGAAGAAAAAG